CACCACATATAAATATGTTGTGTCCACCGAAAACTAAAAAATAAATATTAAAAAAATAATGATAGCACTCTTATTCAGTGCTTACTATATGCCCACTTACTGTTCTAAGTGTTTTATATGCATAAACTTATTTAATCCTTATACATTTTGAGACAGATATTACCATTATTCTTATTTTAACTTCTCTGATCAGGGCACAGAGAAGTTGAGCAATTTACCTAAAGTCACACAGCTGGTATCTTGTATAGCTGGGATTCTGACCCAGGTAATATGTGATCTTAACTGCTCTCCATACTGCTGCTCTCGTTCCAGCAATGTATATTTGTATTAGGCTCTTTTGGAAGCAAGCAGAACTTCTTAGAAGGTACTAGAAGGATAGAAGGGATAGGAGTGGGCTAAAAGAAAAGAGATGGAAGCTGTGGAAATCTAAGAATAGGTAACACAAGGCTGCCAAGCATTTAGAAGCCTGGAAATGGAAGTTCTCTCGGGCTCAAAGTTCACTCTAGCATTCTCAGCAGTAAGGTAAAGTTCAAGGCTCCCCACTCCCCTTGCCTCTATCAACCTCACTCCCCATGTTTCCCGGTGTCCTCTATGCTCCCTTTATATATGTACTCACTAGCTTTCCTTTCCTCATCTCAATATCTTTTCTTTCTCTTCTGAAAAAAAATGCCACATTCCTTTTTTACTCATCTCACGGTCTCTAGACCTTTCCCTTCGGACCTTTTAGCACTTGCTCCTAAATGTCTTGGTCTCTCCACATTTTTCCAGGTCTTTCTAAGGCAGAGAGAAAAACTAAGTGCCTCAACTCATTTTCTTGAGCCAGTGCAGGTTGAAAGATACTGATCAGCCTATGGTTCAGCTGCTCTTGGAGCTGGTATCTACCTGTAGTGCAGTCAGTTGGGACTAGTGGTGCGGGGACCTACATCACATGGCATAAACACAGTCACCTACAGTTGTCCTTTTAGATAGTGGTATGGATGAGGTGTTTTTTTTTGTTTTTTTTTTTTTAGAAGGTGCCTCTATGACAGGCAAGTGTAATGCAAGTTCTGTCCAAGCATCACACCTTCAGGCTAATACTAATCTTTGTTCCCCAATTCAGTAACATTTTCTTCACTTCCTAAGAAGAATTCTTTCCCCTCTGCTTCCCTCCAATCCCATGGGCCTGGGCACCTTCTACTTACTTGGCTAGTCCATCAAGGACAGCATCTGCAGTCATTAATTCAGGCATTGGTCAAATAAGGCCGGGAAGGGACACGAGTCAGCAGAAATAGGTTTTTATAAGCTTGAGACTCCCTCATTGTGAGATTTGGGTGGGGCCTTTCATTTCCTCCTCTCTACTTTCTTGTCTTTGTGATGGGGCTCTTTAGTGCGCTGTAGCAGTCCTGTAGAGCAGAATGCCAGATGACCTGAGACTGGTGTGGATGCTTTGGAAAATGGTCCTTCCACAGTCCCAGGGTACATGTATGTGGTCAGGTAATTCCATTATCCTTGCCGGTGTTGGCTTTCTCTTGGTAAAGTACACGTGCTACTGCCTTGGCCAGTGTATCTGCAGAAATAGGATGGGTGTTTGGGAAAGGTTTTTGTCCCTGATAAAAATTGACCCATGGGCTGGGGATGTGGCTCAAGCGGTAGCGTGCTCGCCTGGCATGCGTGCGGCCCGGGTTCGATCCTCAGCACCACATACCAACAAAGATGTTGTGTCCGCCAAGAACTAAAAAATAAATATTAAAAATTCTCTCTCTCT